ACTTGGAACACACTATGATTTTGGGTGTCTCTGTTTTGGGATATTCAGGTGCCTGATTTTCAGAGAATACTCACTCTGAAACTTATGCACCTTTCAGGTGTCACAGGCTGTGTACTCAAAAATGGAGGCACTCAAAATCATGAATCACTTTTGAGAGTCGCAGTCTTTACTGTGCTAGTCATATGTATATTCAAGATGCCTAAATTGGCACATATCTGAGGATATGTCAACTGTCCAAGTCAATCTAAGACTCTTGACTAAATAGACTTCAGCTAAATGAGGTTCAACTGTATTGCCATATGGGAATATTCCGGGTTACCTGTTAGTATTTAACTACCCCTTATTAGCTTTGTGAAGGATGGTTGTAGTGGTTTAAGAATTAGTACTATAGACTCAGACATTTAGTATTAGTACTATAGACTCAGACATTTTAAAGCTTTAGGTTCAGATTTTTAAAAGTGTGTACCCAGTGTGGAATGTGCATACAACTGTTGTGCATACGCTTTAGAAGTTTTGCAAATGAAAAATCTCAGCATGCACAAATGTGAGCCATTGACTTCAACAGGTTAACACACTGTAACTACCAATTACCTTTAGGAACTAAGTACATTGTAAATGCCTCCCAGATGGCCATTCCATTGTACTATGATATATTAGGTTAACGTATTAGATAGAATTAAAGCATCAAATAATTGTTTATAAACTATTGTGTACTGTTAAGGTTACCTGCTGTTTTGCCTGCTACTACTTTGAATGTGACTACAACCATGCAAAGCACTTAAAAGGTATAGGTCCATCTATAAAAAGTAGTCTCTTAGTAGTAGGGTTTAAGAGAAAATGAATGTGACATTACACTGAAACACCATCCAGATGTTCTAGGTTTTCTAAGATATATGCTTTCCTCATTAGTCAAGAGAGTGATTTACTTACGCCAGTGTGCAAGCCGCTGAACTTTCTAATCAGCAGTAATGCTGAGGAAATCCCTTGCATTGTCCCTGCATGCTTTCGTGGAAAATACAATTAGTTTATATTTTGCCAAAGGATCTAATAGATTTTGCATATTCTTTTTACATTCATAAATCTCATATTGAGATGTATAATAATGACTTCAGTAAAAAAGCAGAATGTACATTCAGTATTCAAGACATTTGCATATGCACACAGTTCACTTCACCTTTTAGAAATGATGCTTTTACCAGACAACACAATTCTTATAAAATAAATTAATGGAGATTGCCAATCTCCTAGAACTGGAAGGGACCTTGAAGGTCATTGAGTCCAGTCCCCTGCCTTCACAGCAGGACCAAGTACCATCCCTGACAATTTTTGCCCCAAATCCCTAAATGGCCTCTGCAAGGATTGAATTCACAACCCTGGGTTTAGCAGGCCAGTGCTCAAACCACTGAGCTATCCCTCCCTCCTAATTCTTGGAGGGATATGTCTCTGTTAAAATAATCATAATTTCTGAGCATAAATATCACAGCTGCCTAATCCTCTATTTCATTCTTTAGCACTCATCACTTGAATGTAAGTGCTGCTCAGGTAGCCTAGGTCTACATTAGATGAGGTAGGTTGGCTTAACATACACCATCCAGTTACACAAAATGTGTAGTGACAGACCCAGCCTAGCTGTCTGTTGCTCACTGATGGAGAGAATACATGCTGGAGCTTGAGTGTACAGCTTTCTCTTTCCCAAGTAAAAAAAGGCCAAGCCTAAGTTCAGCATAATCAGACAGGCACCTGGGGTCAAATAGAACTTCCTAGAAGCTACAGGCTGATTGGTTACCTGCAGCCAATTAAGGCCTGTGGTGCCGTTTTAAAAGGGCTCCCCTCAGGCAAGGAAAGGGGAAGGAATAGAGTGAAGGATAGGAAGGAGGAAGTGCTGTGTGGGTCTGAGTGGAGGACTGGTGAGCAAGTACTAAAGGAAAGGTACTGGGAGGGATTATGTGGGGAATTGGCCCAGGGAAAAGCTGTCAGGTTGAGAGAGGCCATAATCTTGTCTGTTGCTACTGTGCTACTGCCTTAGGGTCCCTGAGCCAGTATCTGGAGTAGTGGGCAGGCCTGGGTTCCCCCAAACTCCCTACAACATCTCAGCCTTGAGAAGGGAGATAGGGATTTTACCCCAAACCTATGAATTAGCCTTTGATGAGTATGGCTCAGTAGGCTGTGGATCCTGCCCCTAGTAGAAACACAGGCAGTGTGGTGCACCATAGTGAGCCTCTGAGGCTAACACTATCTACCAGTGGTGTGAGTCCCATGGGGGATAGCTGGAGCTTTCCCACAACTGGTGTCAAGAGTGGGATTGTTCAACAGTGCTGTGGATGAAAGAGGGTAAGGGGGGGGGGAACAAAAAACAAACAAAAAAGGTGCACTAGGGTGTTGGTTTTTATTCTCCTTCTTAATTGGGTTAGAGGCTCTCACAATGGAGGACTTAGTGAAAGCACTGGTACAGGCCATGGAAGCCCAACAAATGTCCTCCCGGGTAAATCGAATGCTAGAAGATTGATCTCCAGAGAGTTGATCTTCTCTATAGTGTAGACATTCCCATAGAGTAGAGCTGTATGCTGATATGCATAGTGAACGTTGAGGAGGATTTTGCTCCTTACTCCGGTAAGTTGGGTTAGGCTGTTCTTTTTGAGAAATGTAGCTAAAGTGGGAAAGTTTAGCAGATGTGTGGGTCTAGTAGTGTTCTCTAAAAGCAGATGCCAGCAGTGTTTTGCCAAGGACATTGCTGCCAACCAAATAATTCCTTGATTACATTACATGGCACAGAGTCTGGACTGGTTTTCTGAAATTAAGATAGTCCTGCACTGGTTTGAATTTTAGGTAATTTGTTGTTTCTCTACAATTATGTGGATTGTAAATAAATTCATTCTACACAAAAAACTGTGGATTAGCTAGTTCATCCCTTTCCATGGTAAACCTTTTACTTAAAAAAAATCCACAGGATTTGCAGATTCTCCTCCCCTCCTTGGAGCAGGACTGGCAGTCCTGTGGAAGTAACTCAGCTTGCAGTATCCACAAAGGCAAGAACTCCGTAGAAAACTCTACCCCAAATCTGTGGATCCTTCTCTTATCATGCAGGGCTGACCACAGGCTCAGCCCTTGTTGATAATATGCTCTAGTCATGTACATTGCTGTCAATGAAACATCTGTCCCTTCCCCCGTGATGGGTCAATTCCACATCCAGTTGATTGATGTTTCTGGCTGCCTTACCAGGGAATTATGTTTCACTTAACACAAAAGCAGGATGTACCAAGATTCTTGTGTGAATGACATTTCAAGCCCTATTTTGCAGACCAAAGAGGTTCAGATAAGCATACTTATTCAATGCTGATCTAAAGAGAGCTTTTGTCACCTGGTCATTGGCAAATATGGGTATGTCTACACTACCCCGCTAGTTCGAACTAGCGGGGTAGTGTAGACATACCCATATTTGCCAATGACCAGGTGACAAAAGCTCTCTTTAGATCAGCATTGAATAAGTATGCTTATCTGAACCTCTTTGGTCTGCAAAATAGGGCTTGAAATGTCATTCACACAAGAATCTTGGTACATCCTGCTTTTGTGTTAAGTGAAACATAATTCCCTGGTAAGGCAGCCAGAAACATCAATCAACTGGATGTGGAATTGACCCATCACGGGGGAAGGGACAGATGTTTATTAGGCAAAAATTAGTGTCTTATTTTGTTAATGATGCAAATGATAGATACACTGTGTATGAAGTAATTAAGCTGCCTTTCTGGAAATTCAAGAAGGGGCATCCTCTCTCTGATTGGAAATGAGATCACTTGGGAGAAATGAAGATTTTTATTATCCTTCTGCAAATGTTGGTATGGAAAGACTTCCATATGGCACTCATTACTTATGTTTCTCTTCATCTGTATAACCATTAATGGGCTTTTTTTCTGTAGAGAATACAGTGAAATCAGTGTAGTTTTATCTCCTATTCTACATTGGGAACAAATTTGAAAGAAGGACCGCTTTCTTCGTGTCAATTTTCCATGTATTGATTCTGAAAATAAAGTGACAAAGTAGCTCCTGTTTGAAAGATAAGAATACAGGCAGTCCCCGGGTTACGTACAAGATAGGGACTGTAGGTTTGTTCTTAAGTTGAATGTCTATGTAAGTCGGAACTGGCGTCCAGATTCAGCCGCTGCTGAAACTGATCAGTTTCAACAGCGGCTGAATCTGGACGCCAGTTCTGACTTACATACAGATTC